CGCTTGGCGCGGCCGGAGTCCTCGGGCGCCCGCGGTTTGGTCTTGGCCGCGCGCTGCTCCTCGGCCTCGGCCGCCTTGGCGCGCTTGTTCTCCTGGATCGTCTTATCGCGCTCCTGCTTTTCCTTGGCCTTGCGCGTCGATCTCTCTTCGTCCTCGCGTCGCAACTTGTCGGCGCGGATCAGGCTCGCGGGCTTGCCGCCGATCGTCGTCGAGGCCGTCGACGCCTGCGACTGCGATTGCGAGGCATCGAGACGGGCCTCTTGCGATGGTGGACCTCCGCTTGCCGACGCACCGAGGCCGTTGCTGCCGCCCTGCTGCTGCTGCTGCTGCGAGATGCTCATGCCGCGGGGTCGAGGAGTGAAGCCCGTCGACGGCGCCGGGGCCGAGCTCGAGTCGGAGCCAGAGCCCGGATTGGCGCTCGACTTGCTGAAGAGGCCCTTGAACCTGCTCCAGCCGACGCTGTTAGCAAAGCTGCCGCCCGAAGCCGGGTCCGAACTGGATCCGGCCGCCGACGACGCGGATGAAGACGATGCAGGCTGGCTCGACGTCGGCAGCTTGCTCGAACCAGCCTTGCCCTTCACGCTCGAGCTGAGCACGCCGGCCTTTTGCGATACCGGCCGGCCGTTGGGCGCAGAGGGCGCGCCGCGGACCGAGCCCTGCAGGCGGTTCGGCTGCTGCTGCTGGGCCTGCTGGGCCTGTTGGGCCTGAGACTGCGAGGCGGAGAGGCTGGGCGGGGCCTTGGCTTTGCTGGGCGACGGGACGACGACCGAGATGACGGGCGCAGGCGCGCGCACAGGCTGCGCGGGGCGTGCCGACGCGCCGTCCTCTTTCTTGCCGCTGCCGACGCCAGGGCCCGAGAGGTCCTCGAGCGTGAGCTCGCCCTCGGAATCTTTGCCCGACTTGGCGCTGCCCGAGGCGTCGTCGGGGCGCTGCGACAGCGCGTCAAAGTACTGCGTCGCCTGGGTCGCTGGCTGCGACGCCTCGCCTTCGCGCTCCAGCCTCTCGGCCTCCTTGGCTTTGGCGGCCGAAAGCCTCGTCTGCCTGGGCTCGACCCCGTCCGTCGACGTCTTGGCCGCGCGTGTGGCAGGCGCCGAATCCGCCTCGGCTGACTTCCGCGCCGTAGGGGGCGGCGGAAGCTGCTTCTGCTTGGAATCGGCCGCGGCGGCTTCGGCCTCTTTGGCGGCCTGGGCGGCGCGGGAAGGTGTCGGAGGCACCGGCGGCGGCGCCATCGAGGTGACGTCGGCGTCCTCGGAGGCTGCGGCGGTCGCGGCGATGCTGGCCTGCGACAGAGCCGGGGCCGGGGCCGAGGCCTGCCTGGATGCTTGGAGCCGCGTCACCTTGGAGCCGGGCGACGACGTCGGCGTCGACGTGGCGGCCGCCTGCGGTCGCTGGGGAACCCGGCTGCTGCTCGGCGTGCCAAAGAGCGAAGCGAGGTTACGCGTGCCAGTGAGGGCGGTGCCGCCGCTGGTGGGCGAGCCCGGCACCAGCGACTTGGCGCCGCCGTCCCGAAGCGATCGGTGAGGCGATCCAAAGCGGCTGCGATCGGGGCTCTTGCCGGGCGATCCCCGCACGCTGGCAGAGCGCGGTGGCAGGCGAACCGGCGAGGCGCCGTTGCTGTTGGCGCCGCTGCTGGTGCTGCTGTCCGGTTTGCCCTGCGACGGCGACTTTGGTGAGAGCGGCGTAGCTCTCGAGTCGACCTGCTGCTGCGTGCGGGTCGGCGACATCGCGGGCAGGCTCGGGTAGAGCTTTGAGACCCTGCTGGTGGTGGCTTCGCCTGCATCCGTACGTGGAGCAACCGGGTCCGAGGCCGGAGCTGGAGGAGCCATCTGTGCGATGGCGGCGGGCACCGGGGGGAGCCCCTTGGACGGGCTCGAGGCCGACACCTTCCGTGCAAATGCGCTGCTGCTGGACAGAGGCACTCCGAATCGGCCACCACCGCCGCCGCCGTCGCCGCCGTAGGTGGCCATCGAGCTGCGGAACATCTCCAGCTTGGCTGCGGGTCCCGAGGGCGTAGGCTTGACCTTGGAGCCGGAGATGGGCGCAGCGTGGCTGGGCGTCTTGGCCCCCAGGCGCGAGAGGACCGGCTTGACGAGCTTGGCCGGGGGCGGCGAGTTGCGGTCGGCGATGCTGCCGAGAGGCGCGTGGCTCTCTTCGCTCTTGCGCTTGACGCCCTTGCCGCCGTTGCGGGCTGTGGCGGCGCTCGATGCCTGAGTGGCGTTGACCCGCGTGTTGGCCCGGGTCGCCGAGGCCGTCGCAAGCCGAGACTTGGGCCCGGCCTTGGCGCCGGAAGAGGCGAGTTCGGCCTCGGCCTCGCCGTCGATGTCGTCGCCATCCTCGCGCGCATCCTGGGCGCCCGTCTGGCGCTCGACCTCGTCCTGATCGCCGTCCTCGTAGTCGCCGTCGCTGTCGTCGTCAGCGCTGCCGAGCCCGCTCCTGCCGTGGGCCTTTGTGTCCTCTGCCCGCTTGCGGAGGCTCTTTTGGAGGAAGCTGCTGCGGAAGCCCGGCCCCGCGGGCGTCGAGGCAGGCAGCGCCGGCAGGTTGGCCGCGGCCGCGGCCGCGTGGACGGCCGAGGAGGCGTGAGCCGAGAGGCTCTTTTTGGCGCTGAACGACGAGAGCGTGCGCTTGGCGGGCTTGTCGATCACTCCGTCGGACTGCGGCTGCTGGGCGGCCTTGAACGCCGGCAGCGTCGCGGCAGCAGTGGACGTCGAGGGTGCGGCGTTCGCGGCGGCGGCACCGTTGCTCGGACCGTGCGATTTGGCGTCAGAGGACGACGTCGAAGAAGCCGGCTGGGGCGGTACTTCCGGTGCGACGTCGGCCGCATCCTCGGCGATCGCAGAGAGATCCTGTTCGGCCGTGACAGCGGTGCGCTCCTCTCCGCTAGCGTCGCCGTCGGCGTCGCTGTCTTCGCCCTCGTCGGCGGAGGGCTCGCCTTCCGAGGTTCCCGGCGGCGGCGCACCCTGTCGAGGCTCTGCCGATTCGTGAGTGTGCTCGATGTCGCCGTCGATGCCAGGGTCCGAGAGCGTGGCCGAGGCGTCGGCAATAGGCTGGAGGTCGTCGATCGAGACCACCTTTGTCATGCCGCTCGATGCCGGCTTCCTGCCTTCGGGCGAAGCCGACGGCGGTGGCGGCGTCGAGGCCCGCGGCATGGTCAGTTCCGCCATCGAGGCGCCTGCCAGCGTCTCGTCCACCTCCATGCTATTGTCGCTGGGGGCAGCACGCTCAGACTCGGCCGCAGCATCGTTCTTGGCTGCCGCCGCTGCCGCCGCCTTGGTGCGCTTGGGCGCCTTGGCCGCCCTGGCGCGCGTCGAAGCGTCCGGCTGGCTCGGTACAGACGATGACGAGGCCGAGGCCGACTTGGATGCATCCGATGCGGAGGGAGCCGAGGATCGGGCGACGGCACTTGCGTCCGAGGATGGCGCACCGGCGCGGGTGGTGGGTTCGCCGATCTCGCCCAGCGCGCGTCGGGCAGGCGGGCGCGGCGTTGGCGCGAGGTCGAGTTCGAGTTCGACGTCGGGGATGGGGCGGCCTTGGCCGCTGCTAGGGTTGGATCCCTTGTTGCTGTCGCTCAGCGGCGTTCTGGCCGCCGCCGCCGAATCGCTCGCCTTGGCCTTGCCGCTGGCCTCGAGCAGCTTCTGCTGCAGCGAATTGGTGGCGCGGACGTCGTCGCCGAGGCGCACCGACGACGACGACGACGAGGGCGCTGCGGCAGCGGCAGGGCGGTTCTCCTTGTCGTCCGAGGTGCGGTCGCGCTTGGAGCGAGGCTGCGCGACGGGCGACTCCTCGTAGGCGCGCAGGCGGATGGCGGCCACATTGGCGGCGGCGCGTCGGGTGCGAGGCGCATCCTTGCGGCGCGACGGCGTCTTGATCATGTCGCCCGCCCTCTTGCTCGGCGAGTCGTGGAGGCGCGACGAGGAGCTGCGAAGGGGTGCGGTGCGAGGCGATAAGCATCAGAGGAGGCTGGATGGTCAGCATACATGCGGACTTCGAGGGCGACTCCGTGTCGCGGGCGGGCGGGCGGGCGAGGTGTGCACTCACGCAAAGTTGGCGAGGATGTCGTTGGCATGCTGGATGCTGCCGGCGATGAATTCGTCGCCCTGGGTGTGGAGCTGATCGTAGAGGCGCTGCATATCGCAGCAGCGCCGCATCGTGTTGACGTGGCCCAGCAGGTTGCCGTACGCCGCCTGCAGGCCCGTCGAGAGCGAGTGCTCTTCGACGGTCATGGTGGCCACGGACGACGACGATGCTGCCGGACCGCGGCCAGAGGCGGAGCGCGAGGATGGCATGGTCAAAGTGTGGGCGGGGCTGAACAGCGGTCGGAGGGAAAACGTCGAGGGATAGGTCCGCGATGGGAGAGAATCGGCGGCCGGGCGAGACTACAAGCCGGTGGGCAGGCCAGCTGCGTCTGCCTGCGAGTCGAGACGCAGAAGGCGCAGGGAAGGGCGGGGTCTATCTGGCTAGCCCAGAGGGGGAGCGAGGGAGGTCTATCGTAGCTGAAAGGGAACCATGGGACTGCGACAAGGGCGAAGACGGGCCGGGGATGAGCGAGTCGGTGGAGACAGTGGGCCGCGTGTTGTTGTGGTGAACGCCGAGGACGACGAGGGGTCGATGGGCGGCGGACGCGTCGGATGTCGAGATTCGCCTTGTGCTGCTTGACGTGGTGGCGGACGTTGGCAGTGAACGAGGCGGCGGTGGTGGTGGTGGTGTCGTTGGTGGTGGTCGTGGTGGTGGTGACGGCGGGTAGCGGCGGTCAGGCAGGCAGGCAGGTAGGCAGGCAGGCAGGCAGAGGGGGAAAGGGAAAATGGGCAACCAACACGCACGCCCCCGCCGCCGTCGGCCGCGGCGCCTCCGCGAGACCGGGGCACGTGACCTCGAGCCCATGTCGAGCCCGCCGCCTCGTCGGCCTCGTCGGTCAAGAAGAGAGAGCCGGTTTCGACCGGCGCTTCGTCGTCGACTGCAGGATGGTTGGCGTGGCATCTCGGGATCGCTGAGCGCCGAGCCGACAAGGGACGGGTGGCAAGCGACCTCGCCGATGCCGAGGCCAGCGCACGCCATGGCCGCCGTCTGGTGCTGGGCGTGTTGGCGGGCAGGCACCCTGATGACCTCGCAGCGCCATCCCGCCATGGCAAGGCGGAGCGAGGCCGACGATGGATGGACTGCCGAGGGGCACGCTCTCTTTCTCAACGTGCCCACCGAGCAGCGCCACCCTGGAAGCGTCGATTGCGGTCTCGGTTTCGACGCCCAGCCAGGACTGACGCGACGTTGGGCAAAGGTGGCGGAAAGCAAGAAGGGAAAAGGCAGGCCAGGCCTGCTGGGCGCCAGGTCACCGACGACGCGCGGCGCTGGGTGGCCTGCCTCTGGCAGAGTCGCAGGCAGGCCTGCCTTTGCAGCGCGGCTTGGCTTGGCTGGGCCAGGCGTGACCTGGCCTGGCCTGGCTGGGCTGGCTTTGGCTGTGAGCCTGCGCGCCTCGTGGCTCTCGCCTCGCCTCGCCTCGCCTGCCTTGCTTCGCCCCCGCGCCGCCCGGCCTTCTGCACCGACTGCTTCCATCGGCACCGCCTTCCTGCCACCACCACCACTACCACCACCACCACCACCACCCATCCCCTCCCGCCTCGCGCACCAGGCCGCCGCTCCGGCATCCCTTCTCCCCCCCTACGATCCTCGCTCCGGGCCACTCTGCTTCTCTCGTTCCTCCATCGTTCTCCTGCCCTCTCTATCTCTCTTTTCGTCCAGCTTCGCCTCTCTCCTTTGCCTTTTCTTCGGACTGCGCAACGGCCTCCGCTTCGACCGGAACGACGACCATCGAGCCACCCTCCATCTGCATCTGCATCTCTGCGCCCCAAGCCTCAACGACACGAACCCAACCCTTGGCCCAACCCTCTCTGCGCCCGCCCGCCCTTCTCCGCCAGAAGCGTCTGCAACCCCCGTCCAATCCTCCTCGGCCACCGCTCCGCTTCGCGCCAACCACACCTCGCTCGAACCCTGATCTCGCGCGGCGCCCGTTCTGCCAACCTCTGCCAACTTGCCAGCCCATCTCTGCGCACTGCCGCCGTCGCTGCTTCGTTGCCCTCGCGCCCGCCCTTTGCATCCCGACCGATCCTCTCCGTCACGACCCTGCTCGGTCCGAGCGCGGCTCTGCCTTTCGCCCGAGCCGACGCTGAATCTAGCACACGCCCCACCGCTGCGCCTCACCACTCAGCCAGCTCGCCAGCCGGTCCAACCCTTGTCAACCTAGCGCCGCCGGCCTGACAGCTTTCCGACACGCCCTAGCGTCGTGCGCCCATAGATCACCCTGCGCCACCCCGTCTCCGGCCGGTCCGCCTGTCATCTCACCTGTCCATCCGACCCGCCGACCCTTGGGAATCCGCCAAGCAAACACCGCAGCCATCCCCTTAGCCCTACTGCGTCCTCGGCACCACAGCAGCTTTCGCATCTCCCTTGCCTGCTCCCACCGCCATTGCCATCGCCATCGCCGCCATGTCTACTCCCGTCCAAAAGGTGAGCGTCGCCCCTGCACCCTTGCCCCTGTGCTGCCGCCTGCCGCCCTGACGAAACCCGCTGACGACCTCGCCCTCCCCATCTGTCTCGCTCCATGCTGCGCCGCCAGTCGGTCCCTCTGACCTGCTCCGGCCACACGCGGCCCGTGGTGCACCTCGAGTTCTCGGAGCTGCAGGACGACGGCACCTACTCGCTGCTGTCGTCGTGCAAGGATGGCAACCCGATGCTGCGCGACTGGCTCGGCGACTGGGTCGGCACCTTTCTCGGCCACAAGGGCGCCGTGTGGTGCTCCAAGCTCTCGGGCGGCGAGGCGTCGCTGGCCGTCACCGCCTCGGCCGACTTTTCCGCAAAGGTGTGGGACACGTTTACCGGCAGCTGCCTCCACACCTTTCCCCACAACCACATTGTCCGCAGCGCCGCCATCAACGCGCGCGGCACCCGCATCCTGACGGGCGGCCACGAGAAGAAGCTGCGCCTCTTTGACCTCAGCCGGCCCGACGCCGAGCCCGACTACCTCTTGATCGACGGCGAAAAGGGCACCGCCCACGACGGCACCATCAAGAGCGTCGTCTGGCACCGCCACCTCGACGGCAGCACGGGTCCGACGGCGACGGCGACAGGCGCGGGTGCGGGTGCGGGGGCCGCGACGGCGACGTCGAATGGCCGGGGGACAAGAGGCAACGGCGCGGCGGGAGCCTCGGAGGACTCGGTGGTGGTGTCGGCGGGCGAGGACCGGACGGTGCGGTGGTGGGACACGCGGACGCTGCGAAAGACGCACGAGCTCAAGTTCGACGACCCCATCACGAGCATGGAGCGGTCCTACGGCAGCCTGGGCGAGATCCTCACCGTCACGAGCGGGAAAAAGGTCCTCTTCATCGACGCCGCAAGGTGAGTGTGCAGTCGTGCCGGCGGGGGCGGCAGGGCGGCCGGCAGGCCGTCGTCGACGATCGGGTCGGGTCGCCGATTGTCGATGGATGGATGGATGGATTGTCGGTCGCAGCGGTTTGGCTGACCACTTTCGCCCCCCTCTCGCTCGTCTCTTCTCTGTTCTGCCCTCATCCGTGCTGGACTGCGCTGCGCTGCCACCCCGCGCCGCGCCACGCCAGCCGCACACCGCTGCAGACGCACACGCTGCCCATCACGCCGTCGTCGGTGTCGCTGCACCCGACGCTGGGCGACCGCTTCGTGGCGGGCGCCACCGAGGACGGCTGGGTGCGCGTCTACGACTTTGCCACGGGCCAGGAGCGCGAGCTGCACAAGGGCCACCACGGGCCCGTCCACTGCGTCTCGTACAGCCCAGACGGCGAGCTCGCCGCCAGCGGCAGCGAGGACGGAACCATCCGACTGTGGCAGACCTGGCCCTCGAAGCGGTACGGCCTGTGGACCTAGCACACCGCCCCGCCCGCTCTACCTCGCCGGTGCGCTGGGCGGCGGCGTGGCAGCACCCGAGGCAGGCATTTGGGGCGGCCTCTCGCCTCGCCTCGCCTCGCCTCGCCTCGCCTCGAATGCAAAAAGAATCACGGCCACCAGTCCTCGTCGTCCTGCCCTTCTGGTGTCGGTGGGTAGAGCGGTCGTGGAAAACAAGCTGGCCGGGCGTGAGAGAGCGGGTGGCGTTGCGCATGTGGTGCGCCTGCCTGGACGGACGACTGTGTGTTTCGGAGGCCTGCAGATCAGACGGGCTGATGGTGGCCGCCGGCTGTGGCGACCATGGATGGCGCTGTGTGTCGATGGACGCTGCCTGCGGTCGGACAACAAGAAGTGCTCGCCAGCACCCACCTCGTCTCTCTGCCTCTGCGCCTCCTCCGCTCTCCTCTCGATCCGTCCGCCATCTCTTCCAGCCCTCCTTCTTCTTCGATACGATACTGGCCGTCGCCGCCCGCGCTGCACCGACTGGACTACGTGGGTCGCTCCCACTGCGTCGCCTTGGTCGGCATGTAGACGTAGTAGACCTGGCCCGTCGACCTCGACGCCCTCGTGATCCATCCCTCGGGCAGCGGCGCCTCCCCCTCCGCCTCGTCGCTGCCCCTAGCCTTTTTGGCCGTCGCCTCGCCCACCTCGCCCTCGGCAGATCGCTTCGTCGCCCCGCCCGACGAGGCCGTAGAGTCTTGGCCCGGCGCCTCTTCACCCCCGGCCCCGGTCCCGGCCCCGACGGTGGCGGTGGCGGTGGCGGTGGCGGTACCGGCAGCGTTCGACGTCGTCGCCGTCGTCGACGCGGGCAGCACCGAGATGTCGGCGGCCGTGTCGTCGCCGCCCGCCAGCTCGTCTTCCAACTCGTCCTCGCTCAGCTCGTCGGGCTGCGTAATGAGCCGGATGATGTCGCCGCGCGCAATCTCAAAGGCGGCCTTGAGCGCCGTGCTGCGGCTGATGACCTCGCTCCTGGCCGCCATCGGCTTGACGCACCCGCCCAGCAGACCCGCGACGCTGAGGCGCGCGCGCAGCTCGTCCTGCGTGTCCTCGTCGGCCGCCTTCTTGGCGTCCTTGGGGCCCAGCTTGACCTGCTCGTCGACCCGAGGACCGTCGGCGGGCACGCCGTACGACGGGTAGATGCGGCCCGCCACCAGCTCGACGGGCATCGACACCTCCTGCGGCACCTTGGCCCCGATCTTGTCCGAGAGCGGGATCATGACAAAGCCCTGCGGCAGCGGCGGCATGGCCGGGTGGCCCGGCTTGGCGCGCAGGATGCTCGGCTCCGGCAGCTTCATGCGCAGCGGCGGCGCCGGCGGCGTCGTCGACGGCTTCGCCGATCCGGAGCGCTGGGCGCCCTCGGCGGCTTTGCCCGGCTTGTCCGTCGCGTTGGCGCTGGCTTCGCTGGCTCCTGCCTCTGCCTCTTCCGGTGCTTCGCCCGCCCCTTTCGTCTCCGCTGCCGCCGCCTGCTGCTGCAGCAGCAGCTGCTCCCTCTCGGCCTCCTCCTTCTTGGCGCGGTTGTACTTGGCCGCCGTCACAATCTGGTACATTTCGCCGGCGACGCGGATGGGCGACTGGTGGCCGTGGGCCTCCTTGCAGATGGCGGCCAGCCGCAGAACGTACGACGCGTCGGCGTCGAGGTACACGGCGGGCGGGTCCTTGGCATCCGGAGGTAGCGCGCGGACGAGGGCAGCGTTGAGCTCGCGCTGCAGCTTTTTGAGGTCCGCGACGGACAGCTTGAGGCGCACCACCTCGCCCACCCAGATCCGCTCGACGCCAAAGAAGAGGCCCTGGAACATCTGCACCGGCTTGGCCGCCGCCGCCAGTGCCGCGGTAGCGGAACCGGCCGGCGTCGCGGGAGAGCCGTCAGCAG